CAAAGTCACCCAGCCAGCTTTCATGTCTAAGGCAGGATTAGAACTCACCATCTCCCGGTGATCGGCCAAAGTCACCCAGCCAGCTTTCATGTCTAAGGCAGGACTAGAACTCCCCATCTCCTGGTGATTGGCCAAAGTCACCTAGCCAGATTTCATGTCTAAGGCGGGACTAGAACTCATTACCTCCCAGTTTCTAGCCTCATGACGTAACTACTCAACCAAATTTGCTTGCATCTTATATTTGAAGTAATATGTTTAAGTAATAAGTTTTATAAATGCAATGAATTGAAGAAATGAAATGAAACCTGAGGCCCACCAATGACTTTTATGAAAGGTTTCATCCATTGCATTCTAAGAAGGAGTTTGCATGTCACACTAAGTTGAAATGTATTTGCCTTTGGTCATTCAACCACCTGTGCTTTTCTCAAGAAATCGTGGTTAAGGGTATCTTGGGCAAACATGCAATTTGGTCTTAGCCTGAGTCTTTTTTCCTACCCAGAACTGCTGTTATGGTTCTAAATTTGTGATTTATTCTCTTTCCAGATGAGGTCGAAATAAAAAAGTGTACTGCAACCACAAATACCGAGTGTGCCTGCAAGAATGGTACCTTCTGCTCACCTGGCCAGCCATGTGAAACTTGCACTAAATGTATGACAAGGTCAGCATGATTCAATACTGCTTAAAATGCTTTAGAACTAATTTGGCATTCTGTAAAAAAAAAATTGGGAAAGGTTTGGAGAAGGTGCCCTGGATGAAGATCTTTGTGAGAAGGAAGAGCAGGCCAGGGGGAGAGGGGAGGAGGTTCTGCTACCACAACCTTCTAATTTCCAAGCTTTGAGCAATCTCTGATGATGCATTGACATCCCTGCAGAGACTTGGCTCAACTGCTTTGAAGCCACTTTGCAGTGACCGGTTGAGAATAAGTTTAGTTTTGTTGACCATCTCGTCATAAGTAGATTTGCCCTGGATCAGTATGGAGATTCCTCAGGCAGCTACACTGAACTTTTAAGATTCTGAGTGACACTTTGTGAAGCAGTGGTTGTGCACAGATTTACGTTTTGGAGGCCTTATGAAAAAGAGGAAGGAGAAGGAGAAGATTGTATCTACTCTGGAAAGATGGCCTTAACATATAAGAGAATTCTCTGCTTCAAGAAATTGGTATCATTAGCCTTGTTGACAGCTTCCTGAATACATAACTTCTCCAGAGTGGTGAAATTGGCCTGTCCATCACCAGGTGGCAGCTTCCTGTTGTCAGTCTATCACAGTAGCATAATGGAAGGTATATCTAAAAAGAACAATTCCAGTGACTGCCACAGTACAACCCAATACCACAGCAGCCCTCATATGCTTACTTGTTCTGACCCCCCCCTTCTGTACGGTGAGTCACGCCGACACAAGATNCCTCCTTTCCACCCACAGTTTTAAATCCATGGGTCTCCTTAGACCATTTTGCTTCCAGTATTAATGTAATGGAAGTCCATGTCCTCATCATTTTTCCCTTCCCCCAAATGCTTCCTTCTCTTCTAATTCCTATTAACTGATGCCAACAAAATCTGAAAATATTCTTTTCTTTTTTCCCTCAACATTTCAAGGGTACTCAAATCATTGTCACAGTGCTTCCTTTCAGAGGCAGAAAATGGGATTTGTGGGATGAGAAATTGTATATTTTATGTCTCTGTGTGTGTGTGTTTGGTTCTCAATGAGACTCATTCCTAGGTCAGAAAGCAGATGACCTTGAGGATGGGATGTGGACAGAAATTCAGTCCCAAGTCTGAAGTTCCATTTCTAATTCCTATTTGGGTACCTTTATTATTTTTTAAATCTTTTTAATTACTCTAATGTTTGGCATGTATGCAAACATTCCAAAAAATCCCTTTAATCTGAAATGTGTGTAAGTAAAGGGAAACCTAATTGGGGTTTCAATTAAAATCTTATGGATGAGAAAGGGGATTTCTCATTCTGCCACTTCCAGGTCAGAGGAACACCTCTCAATTGAAAAATGGGTGGCAGCAAGAGATCTCCCACCCCACAGTTGGGATCCTTTCTCTTAGAGAGATGCTCTGCCTCCCCACTTTCACTGGTATTCAGATAGAAAAATGTGAAAGTGAAATCCCAGTGAGATAATTTCATCATTTGAAAGTTTGACTTCTGATTTGACAGGTTTTAAATTTTCATGGAAGGCAATGCTCATCTGCTGGACACTTAAAGACTTCATAAAATGAAATAATTGCTATGAATATTTCAATGTCTGCATCTTACATTAAGCAGCAAGCCACATCACTTTTACAATTTCCTATCTTCTTGTAATTGCTAGGACATTGAGGGTGGCAAAAACCATTCTTTGCAATGCATTCTTTTCCATTTTCAGCTTCTCCTGGAAGAAAAAGAGAAATCAAACATCAAAACACATCTTTTTAAGAATTTGTAGATCTGTATTCCTAGAAAAAGTATAATAACTAACATGTATTGTTATAGGAAGAACACTTATAAAAAAAGCCCCTTAGGGGAAAAAATTGGAAGATATTAACCAGAAACTTAAGATTTTTTAAAAGATGAAATTCAAGTTAAAGGATTTGAGTATTGCGTCCCAGTTTTGAAAAGGTTACAGAACATTTCTCAAAAATAGGACATCAAAACCATTTATAAAATCAACCCTAGAATATTGAATCAAGTATGCAAAATACAGCATCTGACTTCTTGTTCAGTTTGGTAGGTTCAGTTTGGATTAAATACATGTTTTTTTTCTGAAGTGTGTAGTGCTTCATCATAAAGGTTATTATAAAGGTTTCACCAGAATTGACTTACCCAGATCAGAAAGAATTGCAAAGGTGAGGAAAAGAAGAACACACCAAAGCTTCATGGTTATGGCAAGTTCAAGGGAGCTGGTTATTCTTCTCTAGTTCAGTCACCAAAAGAAGCTTAGAAGGTCTGTTCCATTCCATCTTTTAAATCATCATCATGGGATGTACATACCATTACAAATGCAAATATTAATGACAGCAAGACAGAGGAACAATTGGATTGGTTGTTTCTTTCTCTGTATCTTGATGTTAATTGGAAGAGGTGGTATTTTCCTTAAATGGCTAGTTTCCATGACTGGAGATGCTTATTGGCTTATTTCTGCTATTAAAAAAAAAGAGTGGTTTAATAGCCAAGTGAATCCCTGCCCCCCACAATAATAGCCATAATCTAGCTGTTAGTTATCATGGATAAAGATTGTCTAGTTACCTTTCTGCATTTCCTGGAAATTTCTGGATTGAGTTTGTGAAATTGTCTTCAGAAGTAGAGCATTTTCTAGTATAAGTTATAACTCACTGAACAATTAGGAGGAAGACATTTCCACAAATAGTTGATAAGATGTAATGATTTTTGAATGAAGTAAAAGTATATGGAGTGCGGTAGTCTGTAAAAATGAGAACACTGTGCATGGGATCACTATCTCCTCAGAAAAATAAGGTCCTAGGAAGGCAAGATGTTGTGAAGAAAATGCTACAATTCTATGGTACTTTCTATGATTTTCTAAATGAGCCATTGCAACATTTCTTGACAATCACATACACAGTATCTGGAATTGGTTTAAGTTGCCTTTGACCTTGACAATGTCAAGGCCTTCCAACTTTGCTGACTCAAAGATCAGGGCCCACCAACACAAAATAGCCATAGGAATCAATAGTCACAGAGTCAAATGAATAGAGGAATGAACTTGAAAGAGAACCTATAACTTCATGGAAATTTCAGTACCACAGCAGTAATATGTTCCAAATTTTTTAAAATACATTTGTTAAGATATCCAGTTGGAAATTTCTAGATTCAAAAATTGTTGTGGTATAATGCACAAGGAGAAGGAACAATTCCTGATGTCCTACCAGTTTTCACATTGACCTTCTTTTTGGGAAGCTGGAAGAGAGCATCGGAAACCTTCCTNTATCATGGAAACCTTCCATTTTAAGATCTTTATCATATCTAGAATGTATTTGCGCATATGAAAACCAATTCATCTTTATACCCTGCTGTTCCAGTTCTTGCACAGATTTAACTTCACCCTTTGCATTCAATATTTCACCATATCTGTTTGTTCCTTTTTGTATGTTATTGATTATGAAAAAGCTTCAATTGTTGACAACCAGACTGGAATTTTTAAATAATGTTGCCTTTTAATCTTCTCCCAATTTAATAGTAAGGCCTCACGTATATAATGTCTTCTGAAATACCCCTGAGTTTTAGTTCCCTTGTACTATAGGAAAGTGTGCCATCCCAACAACAAATCATGTCCTTCTACAGTCAATAATCTAGAATTGCTTAATGTTATCCATTCCTTAAGCCACATCAAACTTGTTGACTGATAATATAATTCCCAGTTAGGTAGTCCAAATCCTCCTCTTATTCTACCATCTTGTAACAATTTTAATTTTATTCTTATTTTCTTTCCCTGCCAAATATACTTCAACACTATTTTGTTGAAATTGTTAAAATAATCTTTTCCTAGTCTAATTGGAATTGTCTGGAACAAATATAAAATTCTGAGTAGTATGTTCATCTTGATAGTTGATATTCTCCCTATTATTGATAGTTGTAAATTCCCCCATTTTGCTAAATCTGTCGCAATCTGTTGTTTAAGTTTATGGTAATTGTTCTCTTTAAGTGTACTACATCTTGCTGTCAAATATGTCCCCAAATACTGGGCCTTGTTCGTGACTTGAATCTTCAAAGCTTCCGTTAATTCTTCCTTTTTTCTTAATAACATGTTGTATGTCAAAATCTTCATTTTATCTTTATTTATTTTCAAACCTGCTACTTTTTCATATTTCTCTATTTTTTCTAACAATTTAGGTGCAGTTTCTAGTGGATCCTCTAAGATGAAGACCAGGTCATCTGCAAATGCCTGCAATTTATATTCTTCCTTTTTAATTTTCATTAATTTTATGTCTTTTTCTTCTCTAATGATTCTGTTTAGGACTTCTAATATTAAGATGAACAACAGAGGTGATAGTGGACAACCTTGTCTTGTCCCTTTCTTTATTTCAATGGAATCCGACAATTCTCCATTTATCATTATCTTTGCTGTTTGTTTATGGTATATAGTTTGTATGGCTTGGGTAAATTTCTTACCAAAGCTCATCTGTTCCAGTTGTAACAACATAAATTGCCAGTTCACATTGTCAAAGGCTTTCTGTGCATCTAAAACCATCATTTCAGTATGCACCTCATAATATTCCAGAGTGTCTAGAATTATTATCATATTATCTTTAATTTGTCTCTTTGGTAAAAACCCATTTTGATCAGGGTAAATAAAATTGTTTAAAGTATTATAGTCTGAATTTAGTAGAGAAATTGGTCTATAGTTCTTAATTTGAAGTGCATCAGCCTCCTCTTTTGGTACAAGTGTAATATATGCTTCTGACCACGATTTGCAAAACAACATGACAGTTAAACTCAGCAGCTGGAAATTGGTGCCACTCACTGGATACATGGACTGTGACTAGATTTCTGAATGAGGAATCAGAATAAGACAATGGTTCTACTTTCCCCAGGAATAGCCTACTTCATATCTCCCACCATTTCATCCCATGCCTGTCAACACTATAAATTTGGCCTGCTCCTACCACCCATCAAAGGCAATCTCAACTTCTAGTCCAGATCTCTAGTTCCCACTGTCTTCCATTCCAGGACACACTTCACTAGTTCTTAGCACCGTCAGGATATCCATAGACTATTTTCTCACTTCACCCACAAAATACAATCATACTCACATGAACCCCTCCCCCATTCTTAAATCCTAGTCTATCATAGGTTGTTGCTATAAGACGATTGTTTCTTAATAATGTCAGGCAATTGAAATACATTGGAAATTGATGAACCCTTGTGGACTGCTTGATAATGTTGATTACTAAGTAAGCATGCAAAACCAGTAGTGCACAATTTGGAATCCCACCACTAGTTTAGTGTCTTCCCTATTTTCTGCATTCTGAAGTTAAGTGTACCAAAGTTTGTGATATATTTCCTTCTGAATTTTTTTCAAGGATTATTGTAGGAAGATTGTGGCTTGGAAACCTTCCCTAAGAAATATCCTAATCATATTAGCTGTAGCTGGTAATTGCAGGCAGCATCCAAAATGTTAATCATATCCTTAGTGATCAGCTTGTCTAATAGTCCATCCAAATAGGTTCAGCATAAAAGCTAAATGGAGCAAGTAGGTACACAGGCTTCTGAACATGAGTGGTTAGGAGAAGAGCNGCAACCTTTGGTTTCTACTTGGGAGTAAGGAGGATATGAAT